GAGGGACAGGGCCCTGTAATAAGGCCAAGCACTGCTACTGATCAGACCGCAGGCGTCTGGACAATAGTCCTGTCAAATGCGGTCCAACTTGAGGAAATCAACCTCATGCGGGATGTCCAGGCATTTTGGGTAAACGTTCTCTGCTTTCAGCTAATGAGACTTATCAGGGGACAAGATCGAAGTTAGATCGGCTTCCTCCCTGGACAGCAGCCGAGGGCCTTGGATGGTGAGACCTGGCCGTGGAACAGCTACTTGATGAAATTTGAGGGACTAAACGGTCAAAATCAGGCAGCAGTCACGGGACAGCCTAGAATGTGTTGTCTTACCTATCAGATTCTAAATGAAAAAAATTAGATTGTTCAGCTTGTGGTTCTCAAGTCGACTCATATGACACCATTTAAGTTGCTTAATTTAAGGCCACTGCACCAGCGACGATTCGGAGCCACAACTTTATCGGTACAAGGAAGAGTGCGAGGACGCCTGCATAAATCCTCCTCCAGGTCAGCTCTTCAGCACTTACAAGTTCTTTTGCTTTAAAGATCAGGGAGACTCGAAGCAGGCTCAGCTCGAGATTTCTACTTGGCGCAGTTCAGCGACGGGGGGCATTTTGCACTTTTGCTACTTTCCAGCGACTGTCGACCTATCTAGACAGCCTCTTCTCGAGTTGATAGGTTTTAACATGTTGTAATATGTTGCCTTAACGACCTTGCTCCAGCTTCACAAGCTTCACAGGTTTCGCCAGAGTGAGACTTGTAAACCGGAACTAAGGAAGCAATGATACAAAATGCCCTCCCCCGTCGCCGAACTGCGCCCTTTTACTTCAACACTAGGGTGACTTTACTGCCGATGTGCGGATAATGGTTAAAATTTTTGCATTTTCCTTTTGTCAAGACAGCGTGACTTTACCACTCAATTGCCCGTAATATGGCATTCTAAGCTCTGAAGCGAGAAGTTCAAAAACCATCTGTAGAGGGGCGCTCGTTATTGAGACCAGGGTTTTCACCCCTGGCGAAGGCGATGTTCACAGGATCAGACTGTTTCCAGGGACAGAATTCCAGCAATGTTGACTCCGGAAAGAAAGTACTTTCAAAATCCGCCTCGCCTAAAAATCTGAAAGTGGGGCAGCAAAGGGTACAGAATAAAGCCAGTGTTTCCTTTTCCCGATATCATTCTTCCGCTGCGACCGAACGTCCATATTTTCTATACAAAAATGGTGACATAAAATAAAAATGTGTAAGGAACTAGATTGGAGACGAGATTTGGGGCGATTTTGTTCGCTGATCCATGTTTAGATGTCACGGACACTAATTTGTAGGTTACACCGTGGGATGACGCATCCCTAAAGGGAGGTCGCTTCTGAACAGCTCAGGCGACGGACGTATTACAAGGGTCATTCAAATGGAAAGAAAATCGAAAAAAATTATCAGTGATTACTTCTTGTTCCCAACCTCAAGAAGGTCATCGTGGAAAATGTTTTTCTGACGATGTAGAGCTGAAGGCGGCAATTAACGCACATTTTGGGGACAAGGAGGAAAAATATTTCTCAGAGGAATTGAAAAGCTAGTTTCACAAGAAACAAGTGTATTGAGATTATGGGGGCCACATTTAAAACAAATTTTTTCAGAATTTTTGCCTTTTCCTTCATACCTATTCCGAGAATACATTGAACACCTATCGTGATTTGATTGGGCGCCGAGGTAGCATTTGACCTGTTAGAAACCACTATACTAAGGCCAACATAACATGGAACGAGTCTGAGATTTTCAGAAACAGGGGAATCACTAGCATTTCTAGCGTTCTATCTATCTCTCGACGCTGTTCGGCGGTGGCGGGGGGGGCACTTTGCACTTCCGCAGCTTCAGTAGTTCCGGTTTACAAGTCTCACTCTGGTGAAACCTGTGAATCTTGCGCAGCTGGAGCAAGCTCGTCCAGCCACCATGATAAAAACTGTCAACTCTCGTAAGGCTCTCCCGATGGCTCGACGCGTCTTTCCGGATAAACTGAAACTGGGGCCCTTGAAAAACGGGAGCGGAAAAGCAGTAGGTGAGGTAGAGCCCAAATAACGTGAAGGAAACTGGCAGTGATTTCTGAGTTGATGCACCCTGCCTGTTACTTGCACCGCAAGTTTTGACCACACTGATCAGCATCGAATGCTTCATTCTTTATCCTTTGTTCATCACAAGCCAGTCATGATCCGCCGATAAGCGCCCATGTATGCAACTTCCGTAGTGAAGAGACGAGTTACTTGTTCTTGGTCATATGAAGGGTCTCTTTCAGGGACGTAGCGTCACAGTGGTTCAAGAAATCACAAATGTTCTGTTAATTCAGCTAATCTCGGCTCTCCCAAAGTTGATGCCGATCAGACCTATGCCGTAGATGGTCCTGTCGGGAATGATGTCCATGCCGATGAAGCGGCTGTCACTCAAACAACTTCTCAGGCAACGACTCAGGTATAAAGAGATTCAAAAGCATGCTGCATGTGCACCTGTGATTCTTTCGTGTTTTTTTCTTTTTGCATGCCAATTTTCTTTTCTTCTGCATGTCTCTTTCCACCACAGGTGTCATCGAAGACAACGACACAGGAGGAGGAGACAACCACCACATCTTCACCTCTACCACCACACTAAGCACCTCCGAAGAACCTTCAACTTCAGCAGAAACCCCTACAACCACCACTACAACAGAAGCGCCAAGTACGACCACCGAAACGCCAAGTACGACCACTGAAACGCCGAGCACTCCCTCAGAATCCACAACAACTGCTGAAGCGACGACGACAACCACCACAGATGCCATATCCAGCACTACCAAAGAAGAACAAATGAAAGTACTGGATTCGAGCTCGAAGTTTGCTATGGGATCGCTTGAGGCGTCAGCTGAAGTCAAAAAGGACAAAGAATCACCATCAACTACGACAACAGTGACCACTACCACCACAAAACCAATCACTAGCACCACCACTGAACCATCCACAACACAAAGCACAACCACTAGTCGGAGCACTCGTATTACGACGACTGAACGAACGACTAGTGTTCAGGCTGACGCCACATCCAGGTCTACGTCGACACAATCGCCAACGACCGCTCCCAAGACAGGCAAGTCATATTCATAACTTTTTGAGCGCACAAGTAATCTTCATGCGTCATGAAATGTACAGATTAGCGAAAGGAGGTCATTTGTTGCTGAAGACACGCTAAACCTCGGACCGCCGTCGATATAAAAATGTCGGAAACTGCTTCTTAGGCGTAGTTGCCCGCTTTGGGCAGGAGAATCAAATAGGGGAGCTTTTGTGGCGCAGTTTGGAAAGGGGCAAAATGTGGCTTAAACTGCTGGGAGTAAGCTAGCGGAAATCATCCCTGCTAATATTTGACGGTGAGATGAGCGTAGAATCGAAACATGGCTTAAAGAATCAAAACCGTCATACAATACCGCTCCATCGGCGGTTTGCGACAGATTTTTCCGTCGCTAACAGTCGTTTTGCCATAACTTGCGTTAAAATGGTCCAAATCGTCCGAAGAAAAGAGACTCGAAGGATTGTTTCCGTCTTTAGAGCAAGATACGGCTGCAAAAGACGTCAAATTCAACAATAACGAAAGCTTTCTACCTTCATTTCGCTTGCATCTTTTGACAACTTCATCAAAGCTGATGTCGAAATGACATGAAACGCGCTCTCTCAAATGTGTAAGAATTCTTATAAGTTTGAAGGCCCTCAGATTGAAATTCCGCTATTGCTACTCGAATTCCTCTGAAATAGGGCCAACATACTGAACAAAATCGAACGGTTCATAGAGCGATGAGCCTCAGGATCTCACGTAGCTCCTCTTTTTGCACTGATCTCTGGCTTTAGTTGACGCATGATCTCCCGAGCTTCCATTATTTTACTCTCGAGAGGCCACCAAATGTCGACTGTTTCTCTAGGCTACGGGTGCCTTGAGCAAACTTCTTCGTGGGTAAAGCCTGCGGATTGTTCAGCGCTCTTCTATGCTCGTCCCACCCCACGATTTCTCACAGGTCGTTCGTCTCCCCACCCCCCGCCCCCTGTAAGTTTCCCCACATCCTCTGCATTGAATCAAGTAAACGGTTCATAGACCATTGGACTCGTCGTGGTCCCAGCTATCCACTGGTATAATTTCCAAGCAATTTAGACCATTTTTGCGAAGGTTTTGGCAAAACGACGGTTTGCCACGGAAAAATCTGTCGCAAACCGTCGAATGATCACAAATTAGGAGCGGTTTTGCATAAGTGCTCATTGGCCTCGATCGCCTTACAACAAGTCCCAGCTGTCTGTCTTGCTCGAGTTCAATGTCCGCTTGTTAATTGAAACCTGGGTTTCTGTTTCTGCATTAGCCCTTTTCACCAAAGATCATTTAAAAGCTACAGAGCATGAGCGCCATGAATAAACCATATTATTGACTGGCCGAAATACGGCTGTAGCTTCGGACTTTTTGCAGTGTGGATGACTGCAGGGCGAGATTAATCTTGGAAGCTGCTGCGCTGCTGATGATTGATAACTGTGACGCCAGCAAGAATGGTGTTTCAAGTGTTTTCTTTTCAGAATGTGAACGACGGAGGGCTTCTGCAGCATCTTCGTCAATCCGGGGCGGCTTTGTCCCCGCATGTAATGCTCATGGCGGTTTCGAGAAAGTACAGGTAGGACACCTCATACATTGGCACGCGTCGCCTTCGAATAAACTTCTGTAAATGAAAAAAAAGATGACTTAACGACATGAAGGGGTAGTTCGATGACGGAGGGTCTTTTGCACTTTTGCGGCACACGACCTCGCTCTAGCTTCACAGGAGTTCACAGATTTCAGCAGAGCTAGACCTGTAAACCAAATGTGTAAAATGCCCCTCCCCGTCGCCGAACTGCGCCCATCGAAGAATGCTAAGTGATAGGCGGGTCACGACTCCAATCTGGGCACACCGGCTGATGGGCTAACAACTTACACCAGCAGAGCTGCCTCAAAGTTCTCTCAACTCGCATGGTAGTGCATATGAGACCTCCTCCCATTTTGACCTACTATCCTAAACGGTAAAACTGCTCCAACGTTCTGAGTCCTAACTTCCCAGAAGTAGCGGTTTTCAACCTCACCGGGCAGCATCTACAGCCATTGTCTTTCTGTCAGATTTTCCCGCTATAGGCCTTGAGATTACACCTTTCACAACCAAGTGAATTTTCTCTTTACTCACCAATACTATCAGGAACGAAGGACGCACGTTGTCCTTTGCACGACTTCAAAATGAGAACTTTGCGGGGGTGCTCGCTCCACTGGCGATGAGGGTTTCAGCAAATAAATTGTTAGGATGATGCAAAAGAAATGCACGTTCTCCCCACCTGAAATCTCAACTCATACAACTTAGATCTGAAAAAATTTTTTAATCAAAGTAGTCGTAAATGTATTCAGTAAATTAGCGCAGCGCACTTCTGCCAACGAGAAGCAAGCTTTATCAAGCCAGGCAATGTCTTGGACGTCCGAAGTTCTATGAGCGATGAACTCATCGAAGGCATTCATTACAACATCTTGGTTTCTGAAGTGTTTCTCCCGCAAGAAATTTGCAAGATGCTTGAAAAAGTGAAAGTCAGTAGGCGAAAGGTCTGGCGAGTATGGTGGATGATCCAGAGTTTCGTAGTTCAACTTATGCAGCTTTTGCCGTGTGATCAATGAGACGTGAGGTCTAGCATTGTCATGAAGTAAGATTGGTCCTTTTCTGTTCATCGATGTCAGGCATATACTTCGCAGTTTCTGGTGCTTTCATTGGTTTGCTTAACATTACTTCTCTGTGGGGATAGTTTCACGCGGTTCAGAAAGTTATAGTGGATCACACCCGCTGCCGATCACCAACCGTCTTTGTTCGGTGAGTTTTCGGCTTTGGGTGATGGCGTGGAGTTCCTTTTCGATCCAACCACTGAGCAGATCGTCTCCTGCTGTCATAAAGTATCCATCTCTCAGTATCCATCTCTCTTGGCATTGCCCCAAAAGATGGGCCGACGATACAACAGAACGACAGCTTTTCTGACCTTCGGTCAGTTCATGCGGAACTCACTTCTCAGAGCCCACTCGAGACCGCATAGCATAAGCTTTCCAGCTATGTATAATATTTCTCGGAAAAGTCTTTGTTCAGTGAGAAAAAAGTGTTGAAACTAATGAAACAAAAAACTGCATTTTTGCACCAACCTAATAGCAGCTATCAAAACCCGGTAGGAACATTGCCGTCCTTATGTCACTTTGCAAGTCTAATTGATGACTGCCAGTGTGAACTGGTACTCTCTGAGAAGCTCTTGTCCTTCACCCTCTTGATTCTTGCTGAGCAGCTGATTGCTCGGTATTTTGCGTCCCTGCATGGTTGAGATGCACGTCGGGATACCTCAGCTTCCATGGGCTGAAGAGGGAACCAATAGGGAGTCGATAAATATGAATGACTTTTCTTTTGTTCCTTCGGAATGTCATATAAAACTTCCTGTCGAGCTGTGCGAAGAACCACTTGTGAATTCCAGTGTGAACCAGATGGTCGGCAGTGCTTCTGTGTGGATGTGAGGGGAATCGAAATCGCTAACAGTCGCACTCGTAACGGACAAAAACCTGACTGTGATGGTAAGTGCATCTTTCCCACCCTTATAATCAGAAGATCTAATCCAGTTTCATCTCAAGGAATTCAATCTTCTTCTGTGCCAAAGACAAAGGAATGTGTGGGAGGACCAGCTCGTGGACCCTGTTCTGCAGCGTTGACTCGATGGTACTACGACGAGCAGGAAGCAAAATGCAAGGTAATCTCTTTTTGACGACGACTATCCTTATTCTAAGTGAGATGCTGGAGAAATCACTCAACTAGTGGAAGGTTGTCGCGCCACAAAGAAGAAGCGCTGAGGAGCGCGATAGACTAAAGTAGAAAAGGAGAATTTTCAAAAATATTCAACCATTTGCAGAGGTTTACATTCTCGGGATGTGGCGGAAATGGAAAC